GACCGTTGATAGTGGTCTAGTAGCTGGGACAGGCAGGAGCGACCTGCTCTAAACCCGCGTTGCCCTGAGTTGTGTAACTGATGGTTATCTAGGTGGTTGGCGATCTTGCTTCTTAGAACCCTCTCAAAGATTTTTATGATATGGGATGGTAGTGCTATCGGTCTGTAGTTCTTTGCAACTGCTTTACTACCACTTTTGTAGAGTGGGGCTATGTCTGTTGTTTTTAGGGTGTGTGTGGGATGACCTCTGTTTCCATGCTTCCTCTCCATAAAATGCTGAAGGCAATTCTTGATGAACACGGAGTTCCATGAATCTGGTCCTGAAGCAGAGTGCATGGGCATGTCATTTATTGTCTCTTCAAAGTTTTGTGGCGTTAGAATAATATCCGAGATTTTTGAGATGACCAAATTTTGGGTTTTGTTCATAAAGAATTCATTTGGATTGTCGACCATTAGTCTGGGCAGTGGCTCGCTGAACACTGAGTCATATTTAGACTTTAGTATCTCACTCATTTCTTGGCTGTCATCTGTGTATGTCCCATCCTGCCTAAGCAGGGGCCCAATACTGGATGTTCTTTTTCCCTTAGGTTTGGCATAAGAGAAGAAGTATTTTTTCAATTTCCTTTATGGCCTTCAGTTCTTCCTGTGATTCTTGTCTCTTGTAAGATTCCTTCAGCTTAAGTTCGATATTTGCAATTTCGTTGACTAGTGCCTCCCTGTGTATTTCAGATACATTGGCCCCACTCAGCAGCTCTGGGACTCTTCGCCTTCATCTGTATAGGGAATGTCTTCTCTTTCTAGTTTACATCTTCTCTTTCTTTTTCTTAATGGAATGTGTCTTGAGCAGATCTCAAGAACCACAGAATTCGTTTTTTTCAAGGCAAATGTTCGGGTCCGTGTTTGTTGGATATCTTCCCAGCTTGTTTCATTTAGGACATGGTTTACTTGATCCATTGTATGTTTTTGTTATTGAAATTAAATTTCATGAAGAGACCTTCATGACTGCTCACATTTTCCTGGTCAGGAGCCCTGTGCATACATGTCTGTACCTCTATTATGTTGTGATCTGAGTATATTGTCTTTGGTACAGTTATATTATGTATCAGATCATCATTGTTAGTGAAGATGAGGTCCAGCATATTTTCTAGTCTTGTAGGCTCTACTGTTTGCTGGTTTAAGGTGAATTTGGTGCAGAGATTTAATAGTTCGTGTGTGTGTGAAATTTCATCTGAGCTGCCTCCCGGGGTGATCTCTGCTAAAACATCATTTGCTATACTCCTCCATTTTAGGTGTCTCAAGTTGAAATATCCTAGTAGTAAGATGTTTGGGGCAGGAGTTGAGAGATTTTCCAGGCATTGGTCAATTTTCTCAAGCTGCTCCGGGAATTGCTGGGAAGCTGCATCTGGAGGCTTGTATACTACCGCAATGACAAGGTTTTGGTTTTCACTCTTTACTGCCAAAACTTCAACTACATTATTTGAGGTGTTTAGTAGTTCTGTGCAAATGAGCGACTCTATGACATACAGGCCAACCCCCCCCTTGTTGCCTGTTTAGTCTGTCGCATCGGAATAGGTTATAACCTGGGATCCATATTTTGTTGTCATAATGATCCTTTATGTGGGTATCTGTGAATGCTGCAAACATTGCATTTGATTCTGTGAGCAGTCCCTTGATGTAAGGAATTTTGTTGTTTTTTTGATGGCTTTAGACCCTGTATGTTTGCATAGACAAATGTCGTTGTATTGGTGGAATTTAGGGGGGTTTTATTTGTTGGCTCTAATATCTGTTGTTCTGGAGTAGAGGCTAACATCTGTGCCTCTGCTCCAGAAGTGTTTTCAGTTGGTGTAGGATTATTGTCATTTCTTGCAGTCTTTTTTTTCCTCCTGGCCCTAAAAAACCTCTGTCCCTGAAGAGGTTGTGGCTCCTCTCTCTTGTTTCCTATAGTCTGTCTGGTCTGTGTCTTCTAGTCCCCTTGAGATGATGTGCCTGGCAGTATGCATTGTAGCATTTTCTTCCATGGACTGATGAGTGACACATTTCTGGGTGAAATAAGTTACAGGAAGGGAAGTTGCACTCTCCTGTTGTCTGGGTGCAGCATTTTTGGGATGGTCAAAGGTGCATGTCCCACCTGTTTTACCAGATATACCATGCCTTCAGATACCAAGGCTAATATTTACATAGATTGTAATTCTGTTTGCTAGGATTTATTGTAGCTGCGTTTGCTACTGGTGCATTTATATTTCCTGTTTCCTCCCTATCTTTCACCCCTGTATGGACATAAGTGCTTCCGCCAGATTTTGCTAGTAGTGTGTCTACATTATTCCCTGAGGCATCATCCCATTTTGATCCATCTCCAGCAGTATCTCTATTATGAACCTCTGTCAACTGAATAACATTGTTTTCACTGTCCTCCAGGACAACACTAGTACCCTCATGAGCACTGTCTTCTAAGACATCACTAGAACCCTCTGGAGCACTTTCCTCAGGACTACTCTAGCACCATCAGCAGTGTCCTCCAGGACAGCACTAGCACCCTCAGGAGCATTGTCCAAGACAGCCCCATCCCTACCACCCATCTTATTTTCCCAGGTGTCATACCATGCTGACATGACTTCAAGAAGGATCTTTTATTGGTGTTTCTTGTCTTTTAATTAATATAGATGTCATTTTCTCATACAGGTGTATATCGTTTGGGCAGACCCAAAAACATCTCTCTAAGTTTGTCAAGTGTGGTCACTGGTTTAAAATCCCTGCATATACCATGGAACCATTGACCACAGAGATGGCAAGCAATCCAGGCCTGTTTTTGTCCCTTACCCTTTCTGCAGACTACATAGATCTTCATGGTAGTGGTCATCTTACAATACTTGACAACTCTCCTAGTAGCTAGTCTATAATTCCTTGAAGTATTTAATTTTTTGTAACAGTATGTGAATGTTTTTCCTGACTGAGTATCCAGGGACATTTAGTAGATTCAACCAACATTTTTAGAGCAAAATTATATGCCAGATTCTTCACTCTCACACACTTTGCAACCACGTCCGCCTCGTCATTCGTTCTTGTTTCTGACTCTCAAAGTGCTTTATAAGCTATCCAAAAATTGACTCTGCACATCCCCACCATTCTTCGTATATAATAATGGTCATGTCACATTTCTGGCAACCACAAAACAAGTCGGTTTATACTGTGTCCCTGGACAGCCAGTATTCTGGGAAATGAACTCGGTCATTTTATCAGCTGTTCCCCAACTGCCAATCTCCTGCAGGAGTGTCTTTTTTTGGACTATTTTCCAATACTCTCTGAACAACTTCAAAATAGCTGACAACAATGTTGGTCCAAGTTAGAACACAATAAACTGTTTCCTGTCATATTAAAATTGGTTCCTGACCATCTTCTTCCCATCATTGTTATGTATGGGAAACAACACTCATGTTTACAAATAGGACACAAAGAACTTACACACAGATACTACACAGAGAAACGTCTTATACCTCACTATCACTTAGCTATATCTTAATATACTATCCTATCTGCCAGAGAGCATGTAGAAGTCACTTGCAACTTTTACAACACCCTGATGCACCCCCCTCTATCTGACCTATTTGCTGAAAGTTCCACTTGTTACAAATAACAAATAAATAATCTCTATCACCAACTTTGACTTTAGTTTTGCACCCACACCTTCCCTAACCCACACCTTTCCTAACCCACACCTTTCCTAACCCACACCTTTCCTAACCCACACCTTCACTAACCCACACCTTCACTAACCCACACCTTCACTAACCCACACCTCCACTAACCCACACCTCAACTAACCCCCACCTCCACAAACCCCTACCTCCACTAACCCCCACCTCCACTAACCCACACCTCCACTAACCCACACCTCCACTAACCCACACCTCCACTAATCCACACTTCCACTAACCCACACCTCCACATGTCCCTACCCGCTTAGCTGTATGACTCATATAGGTACAGAATATTTTTTAACAATAATAATAATAATAATATCCACCACAAGAAGGAACAAAGTGTGTACTTACACATAGGATAACTAAGTCTTTGATACACTTGAAGAGCTACTTACAGTGTGTTTATAGCAGTAACAGTAAGAATAGAACCTTGTATAGTTGCAACGAAGCATCCTGATGACAGTACAAGTGTTACAGTGTGTTTATAGCAGTAACAGTAACAGCAGAGCCTTGTACACAGTCACCACGAAGCATCCTGATGACAGTACAAGTGTTACTTACAGTGTGTTTTATAGCAGTAATAGGAACAGCAGAGCCTTGTACGCAGTCACCACGAATTCTCCTGGTAGCCACGTAGTAACCACGGATGAGTTTCTCAGCTTGAGTGCTGAACACAACACGTAGTCCGCGCACTATACACAAGTACTGTACAGAAGAAACATGGTCAGCTTTTATGCAGCAGTTCCAACTACGATACAGTACATACAATGATCAATAAAAAAACTCACATAGAAACATTAGATGCACTTATGTATGCCAATCTACTGCTTATCTGATGCAATGCTCTCTTATGCTAATTGTTTTACATGATGGAAGGAGCGTTGGTGTCCATTGCTGTCTTACTAACACACAGGATAACAGGTATATCTTGCTACTTTTAATTACACTTTGGTCACACTACACATTTTTTCTTAATAGTTCTTGTTCTTATAGTAATTTCCTTTCATCTCTGGTAACCTAGTGGCTAAAGCTCTCGCTTCACACAGCGAGAGTCTGGGTTCGATTCCCAGCCAGCGTAGAAACATTGGGCGTGTTTCTTTACACCTGTTGTCTATGTTCACCCATCAGTAAAATGGGTACCTGGGAGTTAGTCGACTGGTGTGGGTCGCATCTTGGGACAAGTATGGTATAAGAGGGCACTCCCTCAACTACCTAAAGTCATACCTCAGCAACAGAAGCCAATATGTGTACACAAATGGGGCAACTCTTCCTCACAGCCAATTACAGTTGGTGTCCCACAGGGAAGTGTCCTAGGCCCTCTTCTCTTTCTCATATACATAAATGACCTACCAAATGCATCGCAACTACTCAAACCCACACTATTTCCAGATGATATTACATACGTCTACTCTCACCCGAGCCCAGTCATGCTAGCCAATACTGTAAATACCGAATTACAGAAAATATCAACCTGGATGAGGACCAGCAAACTTACTCTAAACATTGACAAAACCTACTACATTCAGCTGGTAACAGAGCTGCAGATGTGTCTCTTAACATAATGATAAATGGATCACCTATCACAAAACTCACAGAGGGAATTTCCTAGGAATCCACCTTGATAATAGACTCAAATTTCAAACACATATACAACAAATTTCCAAAAAAATTTCAAAGACCGTAGGCATACGTACTATCGAAGATACGGTACTATGTTCCACAGTCAGCACTCCTGGCCCTATATCACTCGCTTATTTACCCCTATCTCACCTATGGAATTTGTGCATGGGGCTCAACAGCAATAAACCATCTCAGACCACTAATCACCCAACAAAAGGCTGCAGTCAGAATGATAACAAATTCCCACTACAGACAGCACACTCCACCAATATTCAGAACTCTAAACCTACTCACAATACAAAACATCCATGGAACATTAAAATGGTATAAAATACCGACAGGTTGTTAGGTAAGACACATATGCAACAGTTAGGTATCTTTATTTCGAAACGTTTCGCCTACACAGTAGGCTTCTTCAGTCGAGTACAGAAAAGTTGATAGAAGCAGAAGATACTTGAAGACGATGTAATCAGTCCATCACCCTTAAAGTTTTGAGGTGGTCAGTCCCTCAGTCTGGAGAAGAGCATTGTTCCATGGAATGAAACAATATTGTTTCATTCCATGGAACAATGCTCTTCTCCAGACTGAGGGACTGACCACCTCAAAACTTTAAGGGTGATGGACTGATTACATCGTCTTCAAGTATCTTCTGCTTCTATCAACTTTTCTGTACTCGACTGAAGAAGCTACTGTGTAGGCGAAACGTTTCGAAATAAAGATACCTAACTGTTGCATATGTGTCTTACCTAACACACAAAACATCCATACTTATTACTGCATCTACCACATACATAGAACACTTAACTCTGACATAAACCCTCCCCTCAAACATCTCCTTGCCAACCTCAACAGAACACATGACCATAACACAAGACACAGATCACTCTTTGATGTTCCTCGTGTTCATCGCACGCTATGCAAAAACTCAATGCACATAAAAGGCCCTAAAATCTGGAATTCATTACCTGTGAATATAAAAGAAACACTCTGTTTATAAATTCAAGTCTCTTCTCAAAAATCACTTACTCACCCACAACTAAATAAGTACTGAATAACTGTATCTCATATATGTCTCATTATTGTATCTCATAAATGTCAACCTGTGACCCAATCAAACTTTGTTACTATTTAACTTCATTACCTAACAGCAACACAGTAAATGACCATACGACCTGTTGTTGTAATACTCATTTGTGCTTAATTGTTATCTGTTTACAATAATGTTTTACCACTGAATACTTCATTGCTTAGTTAATCTTAAGTTAATTTTAAGCCTGCCTGAAATGCTATGCATTCAAGTGGCTTTGGCATGCTGCATTTAACTGTATTCTTTTGTACTTCTCTGTATCATGTTCAAATTAATAAATAAATAAATAAATAAATAAATAAATAGTAGTATGTCATTGATATCAGATAGGCCTGTATACCATGTACATGTACTTGTAGTAAATAAAGATATTATTATATTATATATATCTGCATGGGGAAGTGGAATAAGAATCTTTTCTCTGTAAGCCATGCATGTTGTAAAAGCTGACTAAAATGCCAAGAGCAATAGGCTAGTAACCCCCTCTCCAGTAGAGATTTACTAAAAATAATAATAAAAACTTTTAAGTTGGGATGTTTGAATGTGCGTGGATGTAGTACGGATGATAAAGAAAGAGATGATTGTGGATGATACGAATGAAAAGAAGTTGAATGTCCTGGCTCTAAGTGAAACAAAGCTGAAGGAGGTAGGAGAGTTTCAGTGGGGAGAAATAAACTGGATTAGGTCAGGAGTATCTGAGAGTGTTAGAGCTAAGGAAGAGGTAAAATAATGTTGAGGGATCAGTTGTGGCAAGAAAAGAAGGAATATAAATGTATAAATTCAAGGATTACGTGGAGTAAAATATGGGTCGGATGTGAAAAGTGGATTTGTAGTAAGTGTTTATGCACCTGGAGCAGAAAGAAGTGTAGAGGAGAGAGAAAGATTTTGGGAGATGTTGAGTGAATGCGTTGGGAATTTTGAACCAAGTAAGAGAGTGTACTTGTGGTGGGGGACCTAAATGCTAAAGTGGGAAAAATTGTTGTGGACAGAGCAGTAGGTAAGTTTGGAGTGCAAGGGATAAATGATAAAGAGGAGCCCTTAATTGAACTTTGTATAGAAAGAGGTTTGGAAATAAGTAATACATATTTTAAGAAAAAGAGGATAAGTATATAAGTACAGTGAAACCCCGAGTTTTGAACATATTGACTATTGAATGCTTCAAATTTTGACCATTTTTTTTTTCGAACCAATTTTGTCCCGAGTATCGAATGTGCCCCGTGTTTCAAAGCGCCAGGTACTGGACCTGTCCGCCTGCCTGCTCTGTCTGCGTCCCTGCGCAGGCATCATGAATCAGTCTGGCTTTGTTTATGCTTGAGTGAACACTAACCTGCCTGCTCATTTAAACATTTCATAATTAATTCATTGTGTTTGGTGCTTGTTTATTAGGTGTGACTGTGAAATAAGCTACCATGGTAGTGGTGGTGCATGGTGGATGGTATTGGTGGATGGTGGTGGTGGATGGTATTGGTGGATGGTGGTGGTGGATGTTATTGGTAGATGGTGTTAGTGGTGGTGGATGGTATTGGTGGATGGTGGTGGTTGTGGATGGTGCCTTCTTCAGAGATTAAGGAGATTTGTGCAATGTAGAATAGGGTGCAGGAATTAGCTGAAAATATATCACCCTGAGCAAGCTGAAACAGGCCATCTCTGCAACAAGTTCAGTGACAGAACCATGTCCCAGTTTAGGGAAATCTTACAGAAGGGAAGTAATCCCAGATAAGGACTAGTTACCTAGACTTTATGGAAGGGGATTCCCCTTCCAAACAATAAGTGCTCCCTCACTCCTCCCTATCTTCCAGATGCCATCAACAATCTTCAATAAAGGTTTAGTAAAAATGTTATTTTATATGTTTATTTAAATGTGTATTTATCTATTACTAATTGTACTATGTATGTTGTTGTGTATGTAAAACTATAATTAATCTCTATAAAATGTATTTTTTTTTGTGTGAATATTTTTAAGTTTCTGAAATGGATTAACAGTATTTACATTATTTCTTATGGGAAATATTGCTTCGAGTTTCGAACATTTCGACTTTAGAACTAGCTCCTGGAACGGATTAAGTTCGAAACTCGAGGTTCCACTGTATATGACATAGGGCGTAACGATGATAGTTTATTGGTGAATAAAAGGTTGATTGGTAGACTTCTGGATGTTCATGTTTACAGAGGGGCAACAGATATATCGGATCATTATTTAGCAGTAGCTACAGTTAGAGTAAGAGGTAGATGGAGCAGAAGGAAAATGGCATCAGTGTGTAAAAGAGATAATAATATAATATAATATCTTTACTTCTACAAGTACATGTACAAGGTATACAGGCCTACCTGCAGTTTACCTGCAGATGGTTTTGGGGGTCAACGCCCCCGTGACTCGGTCTGAGACTAGGCCTCAAGGTGGATCAGGGTCTGATCAACCAGGCTGTTACTGCTGGCTGCACACACTGACGTATGAACCACAGCCCGGTTGGTCAGGTACTGACTTTACATGCCTGTCCAGTGCCTTCTTAAGACACCAGGGGTCTATTGGTAATCTCACTTATGTATGCTGGGAGGCAGTTGAACAGTCTTGGGCCCCAGACATTTATTGTGTTGTCTCTCAGTGTACTCGTGGCACCCCTGCTCTTCCTTGGGAAAATGTTGCATCTCCTGCCGAGTCTTTTGCTTTCATAGGGAGTGATTTTCGTGTGCAAGTTTGGTACTAATCCCTCTAGTATTTTCCAAGTGTTTATTATCAAGTATCTCTGTCGCCTGCACTCCAGAGAATACAGATCAAGGGCCTTCAACCGTTCCCAGTAATTTAGGAGCCTTATCGTACTTGTGTGTGCTGTGAAAGTTGTACATTCTCCAGGTCAGCAATTTTGCCTGCCTTGAAGGAGGCAGTTAGTGTACAGCAGAATTCCAGCTTAAAGAGAACAAGCGATTTGAAGAGAATCATCATGGGCTTAGCATCCCTAGTTCTGAAGGTTCTCACTATCCATCCTATCCTATCCTGTCCTCCAGTGTCGTCAGGCCTATTTCCCTCAACCTTTCTTCGTAGGACAATCCCCGTAGCTCTGGGACTAGCCTTGTTGCAAACCTTTGCACTTTCTCTAATTTCTTGACGTGCTTGACTAGGTGTGGATTCCAAACTGGTGCTGCATACTCCAGTATGGGCCTGACGTAAATGGTATACAGAGTCTTGAACGAATCCTTACTGAGGTATCGGAACGCTATCCGTAGGTTTGCCAGGCGCCCGTATGCTGCAGCAGTTATCTGATTGATGTGCGCCTCAGGAGATATGCTCGGTGTTATACTCACCCCCAGATCTTTTTCCTTGAGTGAGGTTTGCAGTCTTTGGCCATCTAAACTATATTGTGTCCTGCGGTCTTCTTTGCCCTTCCCAATCTTCATGACTTTGCATTTGGCAGGATTAAACTCAAGGAGCCAGTTGCTGGACCAGGCTTGTAGCCTGTCCAGGTCTCTTTGTAGTCCTGCCTGATCCTCATCCGATTTGATTCTTCTCATTAACTTCACATCATCTGCAAACAAGGACACTTCTGAGTCTATCCCTTCCGTTATGTCGTTCACATATACCAAGAACAGCACAGGTCCTAGGACTGACCCCTGTGGAACCCTGCTTGTCACAAGCGCCCACTCTGACACCTCGTCACGTACCATGACTCGTTGTTGCCTCCCTGTCAGGTATTCTCTGATCCATTGCAGTGCCTTTCCTGTTATGTGTGCCTGATCCTCTAGCTTTTGCAGTAACCTCTTGTGAGGAACTGTGTCGAAGGCCTTCTTGCAGTCCAAAAAAATGCATTCGATCCACCCCTCTCTCTCATGTCTTCTGTCACCTTGTCATAAAACTCTAGTAGGTTTGTGACACAGGATTTTCCTGTCATGGCAATCCTAGTGTCATCTGCAGAGGAAGACGTGGAACTATGGCTTACATCTCTGTCAGAAATGAGGATGAGGAATAGAATGGGAGTGAGTACAGTGCCTTGTGGAACAGAGGTTTTCACCGTAGCTGCCTCAGACTTTACTCTGTTTACTATTACTCTTTGTGTTCTGTTTGTCAGGAAGTTATAGATCCATCTACCAACTTTTCCTGTTATTCCTTTATCATGCATTTTGTGCACTATTACATCATGGGCACACTTGTCAAAAGCTTTTGCAAAGTCTGTGTATACTACATCTGCATTTTGTCTTCTAGAGTATCCAGGACCTTGTCACAATGGTCCAGTAGTTGAGAGAGGCAGGTGCGACCTGCTCTAAACTCATGTTGCTCTGGGTTGTGTAACTGATGGGTATCTAGATGAGTGGCGATCTTGTTTCTTCAAACCCTTTCGAAGATTTTTATGATAAGGGATGTTAATGTTATTGGTCTGTAGTTCTTTGGTATTCCTTTACTGCTCCCTTTGTGAAGTGCGGCAGTGTCTGTTGTTTTTAGTGAGTGTGGGATGACGCCTGTGTCCATGACCTGGAGTTTAAACCCCACTAAGTGCAAAGTCATGAAGCTTTGGAAAGACAAAGGAGACTGCAAATGAAGTACAAGCTCGGAAGTCAAAGGCTGAATACATCACTCAAGGAGAAGGGTCTTGGGGTGAGCATCATCCCGAGCACATCTCCTGAGGTGCACATCAACCAAATGACTGCTGCAGCATATGGGTGTCTGACAAATCTAAGAATAGCATTTTGACATCTAAGTAAGAAATAATTCACGATACTGTACACTGTGCACATCAATCCCACATTGGAGTATGGAACACCAGTATGGAACCCACACCTGGTCAAGCACGTCAAGAAACTGGAGAAAATGTAGAGGTTAGCAACAAGACTAGTCCTGGAGCTAAGGGGTATGTCCTATGAGGAGAGTTTAAGGGAACTCAACCCAATGACACTGGATGACAGGAGGAATAGGGAAATATATGATAACATATAAAATACTGAGAGGAATTGACAAGGTGAACAGAGGCAGAATGTTTCAGAGATGGGACACACGACGAAGGGGCACAACTGGAAGTCAAAAACACCGATGAGTCAAAGGGATGTTAGGAAGCATTTCTTTAGCCTTAGAGGTGTCAGGAAGTGGAATAAACTAGAGAGTGAAGTAGCAGAGGCAGGATGCATACATAGCTTTAAGAAGATGTACAATAAGGCTCTTGGAACCAGGAGAGTGAGCCTAGTAGCTACCAGCAAAGAGGCGGGGCCAGGAGCTGTGACTCGATCCCTGCAATCACATAGGTGAGCGCACACATGCTCATTAAAAAATCGGTGGGGATTTGAGGAATGGAATGGATGGAATGGACAAAAGGGACTAGTAGGAACAATCCAGTCTGAGGGCCATAAGGTGGTAATTGCAGTAATGTACAACCCGCCACAGAACTGCAGGAGGCCAAGAGAAGAATATGAGGAGAGCAACAGAGCAATGGTCGACACACTTGCCGATGTGGCCAGAAGAGTTTACATGGGGGGAGCAAAGTTACTAGTTACGGGTGATTTCAACGACAAGGACACTGGGAAAACTGGAACCCCCATTGGGGTCCCGAAACATGGAGAGCCAAGATGATGGATGTGGTACTGGAAAACCTCATACATCAACATGTTAGAGAGACTACCAGAGAGAGAGGTGAGGATGATCCAGCAAGACTGGACCTTGTATTCACCTTGAGTACTTCAGACATCAAAGATATCATGTATGAAAGGCCCCTTGGAGCTAGTGATCATGTGGTTTTGGGCTTTGACTACATAGTTGAGCTACAAGTGGAAAGAGTAGCAGGAATAGGATGGGAAAAAAACAAACTACAAAAGGGGGGACTACACAGGCATGACGAACTTCCTGCAAGACGTTCAGTGGGAAAGAGAACTGGCAGGAAAACCAGTAAAAGAAATGATGGACTATGTGACAACAAAATACAAGGAGGCAGAGGAGAGGTTTGTTCTCAAGGGAAACAGAAATATAATTGGGAAGACCAGAACGAGTCCTTGGTTCACCCAAAGGTGTAGGGAGACAAAAACTAGGTGTACTAGAGAATGGAAAAGGTACAGAAGACAAAGGACCCAGAAAAATAAAGAGATCAGCCGAAGAGCCAGAAACGAATATGCACAGATAAGAAGGGAGGCTCAGCGACAGTACGAAAATGACATAGCATCGAAAGTCAAGTCTGACCCGAAGCTGTTGTATAGCCACATCAGGAGGAAAACAACAGTCAAGGACCAGGTAATCAGACTGAGGAAGGATGGTGGAGGGTTCACAAGAAACGACCAAGACGTATATGAGAACCTCAACATGAGATTTAGAGAAGTATTTACAGTGGAAACAGGGACTCCAGGAAATCAGAACAGGGAGGTACACCAACAAGTACTGGATGAGGTACACATAACCGAGGAGGAGGTGAAGAAGCTATGTGAACTTGATACCTCAAAGGCGGTGGGACCAAACATCTCTCCGTGGGTCCTTAGAGAGGGAGCAGAGATGCTGTGTGTGCACTAACAAAGATTTTCAAACACACCCACTGAAACTGGGCAACTGTCTGAGGTATGGAAGATGGCAAATGTAGTCCCAATTTTTTAAGAAAAGGAGACAAACATGAGGCATTAAACTACAGACCTGTCATAATGTGTATAGTATGCAAAGTCATGGAGAAGATCATCAGGAAGAGAGTGGTGGAGCACCTGGAAAGAAACAAGCATATAATCGACAACCAGCATGGTTTCAGGGAAGAAAAATCCTGTCACAAACCTACTGGAGTTTTATGACAAGGTGACAGAAGTAAGACAAGAGAGAGAGGGGTGGATAGACTGCATTTTCTTGGACTGCAAGAAGGCCTTCGACACAGTTCCTCACAAGAGGTTAATGCAAAAGCTAGAGGATCAGGCACACATAACAGGAAAGGCACTGCAATGGATCAGAGAATACCTGACAGGGAGGCAACAATAAGTCATGGTACGTGACGAGGTGTCAGTGTAGGTGCCTGTGACAAGCGGGGTTCCACAGGGGTCAGTCCTAGGACCTGTGCTGTTTTTGGTATATGTGAATGACATAACGGAAGGGATAGACTCAGAAGTGTCCTTGTTTGCAGATGATGTGAAATTAATGAGGAGAATCAAATCGGTCGAGGATCAGGCAGAACTACAAAGAGACCTGGACAAGCCTGTCCAGCAAGTGGCTCCTTGAATTTAACCCTGCCAAATGCAAAGTCATGAAGATCAGGGAAGGCAAAGAAGACCGAAGACACAGTATAGTCTAGGTGGCCAAAGACTGCAAACCTCACTCAAGAAAAAAGATCTTGGGGTGAGTATAACACCGAGCACATCTCCTGAGGAGCACATCAATCTGATAAGCGCTGCAGCATCGGGCATCTGGCAAAGCTAAGGATAGCATTCTGATACCTCAGTAAGGAATCGTTCAAGACTCTCTACACCATATTCATTTAGGCCCAAACTGGAGTATGCAGCACCAGTTGGAATCCACACCTGGTCAAGCACATCAAGAAATTAGAGAAAGTGCAAAGGTTTAAAACAAGACTAGTCCCAGAGCTAAGGGGATTGTCCTACGAAGAAAAGTTAAGGGAAATTGGCCCTGACGACACTGTAGAGCACAGGAGGGTCAGGGAAGACATGATAACGATGTATAAAATACTGCGCGGAATAGACAAGGTGGACAAAGACAGGATGTTCCAGAGATGGGGCACAGAAACAAGGGGTCACAAATGGAAGTTAAAGACTCAGATGAATCAAAAGGATGTTAGGAAGTATTTCTTCAGTCATAAAGTTGTCAGGCAGTGGAATAGCCTAGAAAGTGACGTAGGGAGGAGAGAACCATACATAGTTTTAAAGCGAGGTTTGATAAAGCTCATGGAGCAGGGAGAGGACCTAGTAGCAATCAGTGAAGAGACAGGGCCAGGAGCTATGAGTACAAATAGGTGAGTACACACACACTCACGTTCGTAAGACTAGTATGAGCACTAACCTGGTTGAGTTGTTGGTGGGGAAGGAGTGCAGGTGGTGGTGAGTTAGGTTCAGTACCTTGCAGTAGTGTTTGTAAGGTGATCACATCTTCAGCCTCACTCTCCAGCTCCCCACCACACGTCTCTGTATACACCACTAACCCGAACACACTGACGTACACAAAAATGAATTATTATTATTATTATTATTATTATTATTTTATGGAAGTGCTATCCCAGAAAGATTTAACGCTAGGGGAATAGCATGAAATTTGGTTTGATACGAGGAATGGGAGAGTATCTCTATTTTCTTGCATCAAGAAACCTTCACCAGCCTTACGCTACGTCCTTGAAGGACACCATCATGAAAGCATTATGTACTGAAAAATATAATTTCTCTTCAGGCTCCACATAAGAGTAAAACTATGTTTGCATTTAGGCTCTGGGTACATAACATACAAAAAATACAATGTTCATGAGGGCGTACACATAGACAGAAAATAGGTACATTATGTATGAGGAGATAAGGAAAGTGGAATATTCAAACGGCATGGACAAACGAGCATGGATACTGGGGTCATCCCACACTCACTAAATACAACAGACATAGCTCCACTCTACAAAGGTGGCAGCTAAACAATTGCAAAGAACTACAGACCGATAGTGCTAACATTCCATATAAAACTCTTGGAAAGGATTCTAAGAAACACGATCGCTAACCACCTAGATACCCATGAATTACACAGCCCAGGGCAACACAGGTTTAGAGCAGGTGGCTCCTGCCTGTCCCAGCTACTGGATCACTATGGCAAGGTCCCCTCAAGGAAGGTTCCTTGATGCTGGTGAGGGGCTCTTGATCTAGGGAACTGGATCTGTGCTCCAGTTCCCTGAGTTAAACCTGAATACCTTCCATCCCTCCCCCAAGCACTGTATAATCCTATGGGTTTAGTGCTTTCCCCTTGATTATAATAATAATAATATGGCAAGGTCTTGGATGCTGAAAAGGATATACAAAATACAGATGTAGTATAAACAGACTTTGCAAAAGCTTTCGACAAGTGTGACCATGGTGTAATAGCACACAAAATGCGTGATAAAGGAATAATAGGAAAAATTGGTAGATGCATCTATAACTTCCTGACAAATAGAACACAAAAAGGAATAGTAAACAGAGTAAAGTCCGAGGCAGCTACGGTGAAGAGCTCTCTTCCACAAGGCACTCGCTCCAATTCTGTTCCTCATCCTCATTTCTAACACAGACAAAGATGTAAGCCATAAGTGTCTTCCTTTGCGGATGACACCCGGGTTGCCATGACAGTGACCTCCATCGAAGACACTGCGAGACTCTAAGCGGACATCAACCAAATCTTCAAATAGGCCACTCAAAACAATATGAAGTTCAATGAAGAGAAATTTCAGCTACTCAGTTATGGAAAACATGAGGAAATTAAAACTGTATCAGGATATACGACAAATTCTAACCATACAATAGTGATAAAGTAATGTTAAGGACCTGGGAGTAATACTGTCAGAGGATCTCGCCTTCAAAGACCACAATGTATTTACCGCATCTGCTAGGAAAATGATAGGATAATGAGAACCTTCAAAACTATGGACGCCAAGCCGATGATGATTCTCTTCAAATCGCTTGTTCTCTTTAAGCTGGAATACTGCTGTACACTAACTGCCCCTTTCAAGGCAGGCAAAATTGCTGACCTGGAGAGTGTACAAAGAATATTCACGGCACACACAAGTACGATAAAGCACCTAAATTACTGGGAACGATTGAAGTCGGTTAATTTGTATTCCGTGGAATGCAGGCGAGAGAGATACATGATAATATACACTTGGAAAATCCTATAGGGATTAATACCAAACTTTCACACGAAAATCACTCCCTATGAAAGCAAAAGACTCGGCAGGAGATGCAACATTCCCCCAAGGAAAAGCAGGGGCCCCACGAGTACACTCAGACAACACAATAAGTGTATGGGCCCCAAGATTGTTCAACTGCCTCCCAGCATACATAAGGGGGATTACCAGTAGACCCCTGGCTGTCTTGAAGAAGGCACTCGACAGGCACCTAAAGTCAGTACCTGACCAGCCGGGCTGTAGTTCGTACGTCAGTTTGCCTGCGGCCAGCAGTAACAGCCTAGTTGATCAGACCCTGATCCACCACTAGGCCTGGTCTCAGACGGAGCCGCTGGGGCGTTGACCCCCGAAACCCTCTCTAGGTGAACTCCAGACTTCAGGAAGAAAGCCAGATATTGTTCGTCGAAGCCTTTTTACCTATTTCTCTGAGGCTACGGGTCCCCGCAAGTTGTACTACAAGTTTAACCCAACGATGTCAGTTCACAAAACATAAAAAAAAAAAAAAAATGGAATTTTGGTGAACCATTCCAGCCACAGTATCATGCCGTCTCCATTCTTCCAGTAAAGACAAACTATTTGACTTATTTCCACTGGAATTTAACTCTTGCAGACACGCAAAAAATAATATTAATTCGTTAGTGAAAACTGCAAGTTATATGCTGAATGACTGTAAGATATCTCACCATGAGTGCTTCAAGCACAGTGTCTCACCATGAGTGCTTCAAGCACAGTGTCTCACCATGAGTGCTTCAAGCACAGTGTCTCACCATGAGTGCTTCAAGCACAGTGTCTCACCATGAGTGCTTCAAGCACAGTGTCTCACCATGAGTGTTTCAAGCACAGTGTCTCACCATGATGTTTCAAGCACAGTGTCTCACCATGAGTGCTTCAAGCACAGTGTCTCACCATGAGTGCTCAAGCACAGTGTCTCACCATGAGTGTTTCAAGCACAGTGTCTCACCATGAGTGCTTCAAGCACAGTGTCTCACCATGAGTGTTTCAAGCACAGTGTCTCACCATGAGTGCTTCAAGCACAGTGTCTCACCATGAGTGCTTCAAGCACAGTGTCTCACCATGAGTGCTTCAAGCACAGTGTCTCACCATGAGTGCTTCAAGCACAGTGTCTCACCATGAGTGCTTCAAGCACAGTGTCTCACCATGAGTGCTTCAAGCACAGTGTCTCACCATGAGTGCTTCAAGCACAGTGTCTCACCATGAGTGCTTCAAGCACAGTGTCTCACCATGAGTGTTTCAAGCACAGTGTCTCACCATGAGTGCTTCAAGCACTCGCGTATCTTACCACGAGTGCTTCAAGCACTCACGTGTCTTACCATGAGTGCTTCAAGCACTCACGTGTCTTACCACGAGTGCTTCAAGCACTCACGTATCTTACCACGAGTGCTTCAAGCACTCATGTATCTTACCACGAGTGCTTCAAGCACTCAAGTGTCTTACCACGAGTGCTTCAAGTACTCACGTGTCTTACCACGAGTGCTTCAAGCACTCACGTATCTTACCACGAGTGCTTCAAGCACTCACGTGTCTTACTACGAGTGCTTCAAGCACTCACGTGTCTTACCACGAGTGCTTCAAGCACTCACGTGTCTTACCATGAGTGCTTCAAGCACTCACGTGTCTTACCACGAGTGCTTCAAGCACTCACGTGTCTTACCACGAGTGCTTCAAGCACTCACGTATCTTACCATGAGTGCTTCAAGCACACACGTGTCTTACCACGAGTGCTTCAAGCACTCACGTATCTTACCATGAGTGCTTCAAGCACTCACGTGTCTTACCACGAGTGCTTCAAGCACTCACGTGTCTTACCACGAGTGCTTCAAGCACTCACGTGTCTTACCATGAGTGTTTCAAGCACTCACGTGTCTTACCACGAGTGCTTCAAGCACTCACGTATCTTACCATGAGTGCTTCAAGCACTCACGTGTCTTACCATGAGTGCTTCAAGCACTCACGTATCTTACCACGAGTGCTTCAAGCACTCACGTGTCTTACCACGAGTGCTTCAAGCACTCACGTGTCTTACCACGAGTGCTTCAAGCACTCACGTGTCTTACCACGAGTGTTTCAAGCACTCACGTGTCTTACCACGAGTGCTTCAAGCACACACCTCTCACTGAACCAGTTTTTAATATTTCTTATTGACTTATTTATGGAATAAACTGCTGAATACCAGTTTTATAAACATTGCTTAACTCTCTATGTATATTAATTACATCTGTCTCTTGTAATGTTTTTCCACATTCACTTTACCTGAATTATTACCTTAAAGTATGTGTTGATAATTTATTAAAAGTTACATCCTCATAAGATGCTCAATACATTTCTTTATAGTTGTAATCTCCAAAGACACTATTTTATTATCTTGGTTACCTTTAATTAACATTTTCCTGATTATATTAAGTAAACCCTTTATTTATCTTGTCAAAATCTCGTGTCTTCCATATCTTACTAAATGGAAGAATGAATGCACTGATCATTATAATTTCTTCAACTTTATTTTGGATTTCTACCGCTATAATTACAACATTATTTATATTTTGTATTTTAATTTCTGAAGCTTGTAATTTTTGTTACCAGTAATGTCACTTTCCCCTGTCTTCTGCACACCAAGCAGTGTTCGCCAGATACAACTTCATTTAAGATATGTTTTTCCTGTTTAGTTTCAGTTAGACGATATCAGATTCCATCTCATGAAAAATATTCCTCAACTCACGTTTTTTTTTTTTTTTTTTAATCATCCCATCTATCTTAGTATATAATGTTACAAGTTTGTTGTCTCACATCATGAAAGGTTTTAAAGTTGGTAAACTTACTCTGTGATAGACTTGGTGAGGTCTCCCAGTGGAACATGAAGGAAACTGTCCAGAGTGTCTGTGGTGGTGCGGGGACGTGCATGTGCTGGGTCATAACAAGCCCATGCTGCTGCCCGCAGTGGGTATGTCAGGGTAGGTGTGTGCTGCCGTGCCCGGCTTCCACACCCGACTTGGATCACCCCACTCTCCAGAGCTATCAAATAAAGGGAGGAAAAGTAGGATTTTTCTAAAGAAGATTAATGAAATTGTGGTTCTTTATAGCCAAAATTTGCAAAGCTGACATATCCAGCAGTGACTGATGTGCCAAACAGGCAAGGCATTAATTAATTTCTGCTGCAGAAAATCGTAAAATTAATATATTTCACTGATGTTCAGACAACTAACTATAATTAGTTATGTTAAGTAGGAGTGAACATAATAATAATACTTTAATTCTAGGAAGGTTAGGAAAGGTTACTAAGTTAGTTTTAGTGCAAGAATGCATAATATATTAAATCTAGCGAATATATCTCCCCTTGATTATAATAATAATAATAGCGAATATATCTACCAATACATAAGATAAAAGTATCTGAAGAAAACATTTCACAGGATATATACGTCAAGAGGTGTATATCTCAGCATCTAAGTACGTATATATGCAGAGTTTATTAAACTTCACTAACCATTATTCCAACACACAAGGGATGAAATATATTAGTTGTGTCTGTTTTGTGTATGTGCGTGTGAGTGCACTCACCTCCACACACACACACACACACACACACACACACACACACACACACACACACACACACACACACACACACACACACACACACACACACACACACACACCCCAACAGCTGTCCCTTATGGGCATTCTGACCCCACCCCCATTAACACAAACCCCACCTACACCACAGCCCCATATAGGCCCCCACCAAGGCTCTCGCTCCCCCAACCCCAATATTCTTGCATGACCACAATGATAGAAAAGAAGCTAAAGGTTTGGTACACAAACGCGGATGGAATAATGAATAAACATGAGGAGTGGAAATGAAAGAATCAGTGAAAAATCCCCAGACATCATAGCAGTCACAGAAACAAAACTCGCTGAGACAATAACAGACACAATCTTCCCAACAGGATATCAGATCCTGAGGAAAGATAGAAGGAGTAGAGGGGGAGGAGGGGTTGCACTGCTCATAAAACACCGATGGGGATTTGAGGGAAATGAAAGGCATGGACATGATTGGAGAAAGAGACTACATTGTAGGTACAATTCAGTCCGGAGAACATAAAGTAGTCATTGGAGTGATGTATAACCCACCACAGAACTGCAGGAGGCCAAGAGAGGAGTACGAAGAAAACAACAGGGTGATGGTGGACACACTGGCTGAGGTGGCAAGAAGAGCTCACTCGAGCAGAGCAAAGTTACTGGTAATGGGCGATTTCAACCACAGGGAGATCGACTGGGAAAACCTGGAGCCACATGGGGGTCCCGAAACATGGAGAGCCAAGATGATGGATGTGGTACTTGAAAACCTCATGCTTCAACATGTCAGGGACACAACCAGAGAGAGAGGGGAGGATGAGCCAGCAAGACTGGATCTTGTGTTCACCCTGAGCAGTTCAGACATTGAGGACATCACTTATGAGAGGCCCCTTGGAGCTAGCGATCATGTGGTTCTGAGTTTTGACTATATAGTAGAGTTACAAGTGGAGAAAGGTAACAGAACTGAAGGGGACAGGCCAAACTATAAAAGGGGGGACTACACAGGTATGAGAAACTTCCTGCAGGAGGTTCAGTGGGACAGAGAAATGGTAGGAAAATCAGTAAACGAGATGATGGAATATGTGGCAACAAAGTGCAAGGAGGCAGAGGAAAGTTTTGTTCCCAAGGGAAACGGAAATAATAGGAAGACCAAAACGAGTCCTTGGTTTACCCGAAGGTGTAGGGAGGCAAAAACTAAGTGCAACAGAGAATGGAAAAGGTACAGGAGGCATAGGACCCAGGAAAACAGGAGATTAGTAGAAGAGCCAGAAACGAGTATGCACAGATAAGGAGGGAGGCCCAGCGACAGTATGAAAAAACGACATAGCATCGAAAGTCAAATCTGACCCGAAACTGCTGTATAGCCACATTAGGAGGAAGACAACAGTCAAGGACCAGGTGATAAGGCTGAGGAAAAAAAGGTGGAGAACTCACAAGAAACGATCAAGAGGTATGTGAGGAGCTAAACAAGAGATTTAAGGAAGTATTTACAGTAGAGACAGGAAGGACTCTGGGGGACAGACCAGAGGGGGACACCAGCAAGGAATACACCAACAAGTGTTGGACGACATACATACAGATGAGGAGGAGGTGAAGAAACTGCTAAGGGACATCGATACCTCAAAGGCAATGGGACCAGACAACATCTCCCCGTGGGTCCTTAGAGAGGGAGTAGATATATTGTGCGTGCCACTTACCACAATCTTCAACACATCCCTGGAAACTGGGCAACTACCTGAGGTATGGAAGACGGCAAATGTAGTTCCCATTTTTAAAAAAGGAGACAGAAAAGAGGCACTAAAACTATAGACCTGTGTCATTGACGTGTATAGTATGCAAAATTATGGAGAAGATTATCAGGAGGAGAGTGGTGGAGCACCTGGAATGGAACAGGAGTATAAATGCCAACCAGCACGGATTCACGGAAGAAAAACCCGTGTCACAAACCTTCGGATTTTATGTAAAATAACGAATAAACAAGAGAGAGAGGGGGGGGTTGATTGCATCTTCTTGGACTGCAAGAAGGGGCCTTTGACACAGTTCCTCACAGAGATTATGCAGAAGCAGGCACCGGGGCCATATAACAGGAAGGGACTGAAGGGAAAAAATACCTGACAGGGAGGCAACAACGAGTCATGGGACGTAAAAAGTACACATGGGACCGTGACGACGGGGTCCCACAGGGGTCTTTCCCAGGACCTGCTATTTTTGGGATATGTGAACGACATACGGAGGGTTAGACTCAGAAGTGTCCCGTTTGCAGATTGTGAAGTTAATGGGAGAATTAAAACGATGAGGACCGGAGGACTTTAAAGAGACCTGGCAGACTGGAAACCTTGGTCCAGCAAATGGGTTCTCGAATTTAACCTCCAAAAAGCAAAGTCATGAAATGGGGAGGGGGGACAGAAGACCACGACGAGTAAGGCAGGGGGCCAAAGACTCCAAACCTCACCCAAAGGGGAAAAAATCTTGGGTAGATAAAAAACCCGGGATGTCTCCGGGGAAACACAATCAATCAGATAACTGCTGCCGCTAGGGGGCCTGCAAACCGAGAACAGATTCCGAAAATTAAAAAAGGAACATTCAAGACACGTACACCGGTATTTTAGGCCCCAAAGGATATGCAGCACCTGTTTGGGAACCCCCACTTGATAAAGCACGTCAAGAAACTAAGAAAAACAAAGGGTTTTCGACAAGGTTTGTTCAGACTAAGGGAATGTCCTATAGGAAAGATTAAGGGAAACGCCACCACACGGAGGACAGAGGGTCAGGGGGACATAAAGACTATAAAATCGCATGGGAAAAGAAAAGGTGGACAAAGACAGGGTGTTCCCGGGAGGGGGCACAGAAACAAAGGCCCCAATTGGGGTTAAGAACAAATGGTCAAAGGGGATAGTAGGAGTTTTCTTCATTAAGAGTTTTAAGGCAGTGGAATAGCCTAGAAAAACGTAGGGAGGGAGAACCTACACATTTTAAAACAGGTTTGATAAAGCTCATGGAGCGGGGAGAGAGAGGGCCTAGTAGCAACCGGTGAAGAGGCGGGGCCAGGAGCTAGGACTCTACCCCTGCAACCACAAATAGGTGAGTACAAATAGGTGAGTACATATTGGAGTATGCGGCACCAGTTTGGAACCCACACCTAGCCAAGCATGTAAAGAAACTAGAGAAAGTGCAAAGGTTTGCAACAAGACTAGTCCCAGAGTTAAGAGGTATGTCCTATGATGAGAGGTTACGGGAAATCAACCTGACGACACTGGAGGACAGGAGAGATAGGGGGGGACATGATAACGACTTACAAAATACTGAGAGGAATTGACAAGGTGGACAAAGACAGGATGTTCCAGAGACTGGACACAGCAACACGGGGACACAGTTGGAAGCTGAAGACACAGATGAATCAAAGGGATGTTAGGAAGTATTTCTTCAGCCACAGAGTAGTCAGAAAGTGGAATAGTTTGGGAAGCGATGTAGTGGAGGTAGGATCCATACATAGCTTTAAGCAGAGGTACGATCAAGCTCATGGTTCAGGGAGAGTGACCTAGTAGCGACAGTGAAGAGGCGGGGCCAGGAGCTTGGACTCGACCCTGCAACATCAACTAGTAAATATATATATATATATATATATATATATTATATATATATATATATATATATATATATATATATATATATATATTATCACACTGGCCGATTCCCACCAAGGCAAGGTGGCCCGAAAAAGAAAAAACTTTCACCATCATTCACTCCATCACTGTCTTGCCAGAAGGGTGCTTTACACTACAGTTTTTAAACTGCAACATTAACACCCCTCCTTCAGAGTGCAGGCACTGTACTTCCCATCTCTAGGACTCAAGTCCGGCCTGCCGGTTTCCCTGAACCCCTTCATAAATGTTACTTTGCTCACACTCCAACAGCACGTCTAGTATTAAAAACCATTTGTCTCCATTCACTCCTATCAAACACGCTCACGCATGCCTGCTGGAAGTCCAAGCCCCTCGCACACAAACCCTCCTTTACCCCCTCTCTCCAACCTTTCCTAGGCCGACCCCTACCCCCCCTTTCCCTTTCCCACTACAGATTGATACACTCTTGAAGTCATTGTTTCGCTCCATTCTCTCTACATGTCCGAACCACCTCAACAACCCTTCCTCAGCCCTCTGGACAACAGTTTTGGTAATCCCGCACCTCTCCTAACTTCCAAACTACGAATTCTCTGCATTATATTCACACCACACATTGCCCTCAGACATGACATCTCCACTGCCTCCAGCCTTCTCACTGCAACATTCATCACCCATGCTTCACACCCATGTAAGAGCGTTGGTAAAACTTTTACTCTCATACATTCCCCTCTTTGCCTCCAAGGACAAAGTTCTTTGTCTCCACGACTCCTAAGTGCACCACTCACTCTTTTCCCCTCATCAATTCTATGATTC